TCTTAACTCCTGCGCCACACTGCACTCTGCCCAACCCGCCTTGGCTTCCTTTTAGACTCCTGGGTTCTTTAGAAGTGTGCTATTTTATTTCCAAATATTTCAGGATTTCCCAGAGATGTTTCTGTTATTGTTTCTTATTTAATTCCTTTGTGGTCAGAGAGCCTTTTCTGTATGACTTGAATCTTCTTAGGTTTCCTGGGGTCATGTCTACCAGAATGCGGTTTATCATGATAAATCTCCATGCGCACCTGGGAAGGGTACATCCTGTTGTTGGCTGGAGTGCTATGCTAGCTAGGTCAAGCTGGTGGAGAGTGTTGTTAAAATTTAGTGTATCTTCATTGATTTTCTCTGCCTCTTTTACCAGCTGTTCAGACAGTCACCGCTGCCTCTGATGGTCGTAGGGATCTGCCCATTTCTTCTTGCAGTTCTTCCAGGGTTGCTTTATGCAGCTCAAAGCTCTGTTACTTAGGTGCATTTGTGTCACTCAAAACTCTCCGGAGCGGAACCAGTAGGATGTATTCATATACAAAGAGAGATTTATTTAATGGAATGGACTCTTGTGGTCCACAGGCTTCAGGGGTCCCAAATCTGATGGAGGAGGCTGGAGGGAGCCTCAGGAGAGCTGCATTCAGGTCCACGAGCAGCCTGGGGGACCAGGGGCGAGGTGCTGTGCAGGAAGTGAGACGGCGCTCTGTGGGAGATTCTTCTTGCTTGGGGAAGGTCAGCCTTTGGTTTTACTCATTTCCTTAAGGGAATGGGGCTCCTGCACTGTGGAGACGGGTCTGCCTTTCTCCTAATCCACCCATTTAAATTTCAGTTTCATCCAGGAGCACTCACAGCACCATCCGTGTTTGACCAAACATCTGGAAACACAAAATAACATCACAGTGCACGAACGTTTACTACTGTTACGGCTTCTGGATAAGCCAGTCCCACCATGGCACGACAGCCTTTGCCCTTTAATAACACTCTGAGCCAGGACATTGCCTTCGTCTGCTGTCAGCCAGCTACCCGGCTTTCTTGGCATCAGTATGCATGTGTATCGTCATTCATCCTCTTACTTTTAACCTATTTGTGTCTTTATGTTAAAGTATAACTCCTAGAGGTGGCGTATATTGCTTCCTTTTTAAAGATTTGCTTATCTGAAAGGCTGAATTATGGGGCAGGGGGTTGGGGGCTGGAGAGAACAATCCTCCATCTGGTTCACTCCCCCACATGGCTGCAATAGCCAGACTTGGGCCAGGCTGAATCCAGGAGCCTGGAGCTCCACTGGGTCCCCCACAAGGGTGGCAGGGCTGAGGCACTTGGACCAACTTCCACTGCTTTCCCAGGTGCACCGAGCAGGGAGCCGGATCGAAAGTGGAGCAGCCAGGACACAAACCAGGGCCTACGGGGGATGCCAGTGTTGCAGGCTGTGGCTTAACCCACTACGCCACAGTGCTGGCCCCATGGCAGGTATTTTTATCCAGTTTTACAATCTATTCCTTTTAACTGGAGACTGTAGACCACGGAGGCTGCGTCTGGATTCTCAGCATCCATCTCTGACTTACCTTTTCCTTTCAAGTGACAGCCGCGGCTCATCTCCATCCCTCCCCTCCCAACTTTGCCATCTGTTAGATGTTCTGCTTTCACACATGTGGTAAGCCACACTCTACACTGTTACATTTAAATTAAAAACTCATATTTACCTGTGTGGTTCCTTTGCGGATGTTTTTTACTCCCTGACGTAAATCCGTATTTCCATCTGGAATCTTCGCCATCTTGTTCGAAGGAATTCCTTTCGCGTTTATTTAGTGCAGTTCTGGTGATGATAAAGTCACTTAACTTTACATTTTTATGCCTGAAAAATGCCTATTTTGCCCATTTTTTTCTAGTTACTGAGTTATTTTTGTAGCTTAGTTGCGATGATAAGTCACACACCATACAATTCACCCATTTAAAGTGTACAGTTCAATGGCTTTTAGTATATTCAGAGTTGTGTAATCAACTTTAGAATATTTTAATTCCCAAAAAGCTCCCCCCCGCCCCAGCTGCCATGTCTCCAGACGGCCCAGCCTGGGCACTTCGTGCGCAGGGAGCCGGGGACCTCGTGTTCTTGGTGACTGGCTCCTCTCACTCCCCCACGCTGCTTTCCAGGCCTGTCCCTGTCCTGCTTGGCGTCTGTCTCCTGCTGACTCACGCCCCACAGCAGCACCACGGCACTTACGTTTCTCATGGACAGCATGCTGGCTGTCAGACACGATGCTGCCGGACCACGCATGGACACATGGCTGCGTGGACAGTTTCCAGTTCTCCTGGGTACACTCTCAGGACTGGCACTTGCGGGATTGTATACAAATTCTGTGCATCACCTCTGTGGAACTGCCGGACTGTTCTCCCAGGGTCTGCACCATCCCAGCTGCCACCCTGTGGGTTCTGACTTCTCTACCTCTGGCCACTGTGCTGTTCTTACACCCACGTGTGCAGGAAGTGGCGCCTCACTGTGGTCTGATCTTCACTTTCCTGATGGAATCCTTCCATATGCTTGTTGGTTACTGGCACATCTTTGGAAAACTGTCTCTTCAGACCTCTTACCTACTTTAAAACTGGGTTATTTGGGGCGAGTCTTTGGCCTAGCAGTTAAGATTCAGATAAAGATACCCACATCCCACATCAGAGGACCTGGGTTCGATACCCAGCCCCAACAGCTTACTCTGGCTTCCTGCTGGTACAGCTCCTGGGAGCAGCAGTGATGGCTCAAGTGACTGGGTCCCTGCCCCCTCCTGGCTGCCAGCTTTGGTGTGACCCATTTCTAGCTGTGTGGACATTTGGGGAATGAACCAGTGCATGGACAATCTCTCTGTCTCTCCTCTGGAATAAAAGCTTTAGAGTCTCTATATTTGTCTTTTTAGCACTAAACTGTAAGTTTTCTGCATACATTTTTGATTCAAGTCCTTTATCATAGTGTATAATTTGAACATTTTTTTCTCCCATTCTATGTTTTTTCTTTTCATTTTCTTGATGATATCCTTTGAAACACAAAAGTATTTTTAAAATGTTGATGAATTCGGTTGATCTATTCCCCCTCTTCGGTTGCTTGTTCTTTTAGAATCAAGAATCCTTTGCCAAATGCAAGGTCATGAAGATTTATACCTATTATTTTTTCTATTAAGACCTAAACGGCTTTAGCTATTACATTTAGGTCTTTCATCCATTTTGAGTGAATTTTTATATATTGTAGGGGGTAGGAGTTTAAATACATTCTTTTGCAAATATATATCCAGTTTTTCTAGAACTATTTGTTGAAAAAGTCTGCCATTTTGCCACTGGGTTGTCTCGGCACTAAAAACAATCTGTAAGATTGTGAGAGCTGCCTTTCAAACTCTCAGTTCTGTTCCACTGATCTGTGTCTCTATGCCAGGACTGCACCATCTTGGTTTCTACAGGTTCACGGAAGTTTAGAAATCAGGAAATGCGAGTTCTCAACTTTGTTCTTCTTTTTCAAGACTGATTTGCCTATTTTGCTTTGTTTTTGAGAGATGTTTTTTCTTAGGTAGAGAATTCACAGGCCGGCGCCGCGGCTCACTAAGCTAATCCTCTGCCTTGCGATGCCGGCACACCGGGTTCTAGTCCCGGTCGGGGCGCCGGATTCTGTCCCAGTTGCCCCTCTTCCAGGCTAGCTCTCTGCTGTGGCCAGGGAGTGCAGTGGAGGATGGCCCAAGTGCTTGGGCCCTGCACCCCATGGGAGACCAGGAGAAGCACCTGGCTCCTGGCTTCGGATCAGCACGGTGCGCCGGCAGCAGCACGCTGGCCACGGCAGCCATTGGAGGGTGAACCAACGGCAAAGGAAGACCTTTCTCTCTGTCTCTCTCTCACTGTCCACTCTGCCTGTCAAAAAAAAAAAAAAAAAGAATTCGCACTAATTTTTAGAATACACGATGGGCGCCACTGTGCTCCATGGGCGTGTACTGTGGGAGGAGGCCGCTCCATGGGCGTGGACTGTGCGAGGAGGAGGCCACTCCGTGGGCGTGGACTGTGGGAGGAGGAGGCCGCTCCATGGGCATGTACTGTGGGAGGAGGCCACTCCGTGGGCGTGCACTGTTCAAGAAGAGGCCTGCTGCCGTCCCTGTCTCCCTAGGCAGCGCGTTTCTATCTGGCTGCCCAGAGGAGCTTGGTACCGGCTTTTCGCAGTTCGCCAAGGAGGTGCCATGATGCTGGTTCCTTCATACTTCTCTGCGTGGTCTTTACTGCATTTCTTGTATCTGCAGGCTGACCAATTTTACTAAATCTGGAAATATTTGGGCTATTATTCCTTCAGAAATTCTTCCTGTCCTTTCCGCTCCCTTCTCCCTTCACGAACTCGCTGACCCAGTGCTCTGCACCGTAAGTCGCTGTGCGGCACACGGATGCTTTCTCATTACCTTTTTTTGTGCTTCTGTATTTCCTATCTTCAAGCTCACCTATCCTTTCTACATTGTGTAATCTGGCATTAATGTTGTTCAGGGTTTTTGTCTCACATTCTAGCTTTCAGAAAGATTTATTTGTTTTAAAGGCAGAATGACAGAGAGAGGGAGAGATGGACAGAGGGCTATCTTCTACCCACTGGTTCACACCTCAGATGGCTGCGACACGCAGGGCTGGGTCAGGTGGGAGCCAGGAGCCTGCAACTTCAGTCAGCTCTCCCATGTCTGTTGCTGGGACCCAAGCACTTGAGCCATCATGCGCCGCTTTCTCAGGTGCACTCGCAGGGAGACAGATGAGACGCACAGCAGCCCGGACCTGCACTGCACTCTGATACGGAATGCCAGTGTCACAAGCAGCCGCTTAACATTCCGCTTCACAATGCCAGCTCCCTAATATGATTCTTTTTAACATCTTCCAAGTTTCTCCTTAACTACTGGATATACGGAATACATTCGTAACCGTTTAGCTTGTTTGCTGTTTCTCACGTATATGTCAATTTCAATGTATTAAATGTTCCTCATTTTTAATAAATGCCCTGCTTCTTTGCGAGTCAGTAATTTATTTTATTTTATTTTTTTGACAGGCAGAGTGGACAGTGAGAGAGAGACAGAGAGAAAGGTCTTCCTTTGCCGTTGGTTCACCCTCCAATGGCCGCCACGGCTGGTGCGCTGCAGCCGGCGCACCGCGCGGATCCGATGGCAGGAGCCAGGTGCTTCTCCTGGTCTCCCATGGGGTGCAGGGCCCAAGCACTTGGGCCATCTCCTCCACTGTACTCCCTGGCCACAGCAGAGAGCTGGCCTGGAAGAGGGGCAACCGGGACAGAATCCGGCACCCCGACCGGGACTAGAACCCGGTGTGCCGGCGCCGCAAGGCGGAGGATTAGCCTAGTGAGCCACGGCGCCGACCACATTCAAAATTTACTTTCAGTAGATCTAGCGCAAAATATTAGGCATGGGCCTACCTCATAGAGAAGTCAAGGTAAACAAAGAATGACAGTAGCAAAGAACAAAGTGAGACTATCCATCGAGACTATCCTTTCAAGAATGACTTATTAATCATGAAACCGTATTAGAGAGATCTCTAAACATAAAACGGCATCTGGAAAAGTATCCAGAACTAGAGAGCATATTAATATTTAGCAGAATAGCTATTTTTCCTTTTCAAAAGCTTATGTCTACTTTGCTTACCTGCACAGGCAGTAGAGGGCTCCAACGATAAGTGTTAAAAGAACAGCCACAGCCACAAAAGCTGCAAACAGGTTACTTTTCGCTTGGACGCTGGAGCTTGGGAGAAAAACCTCTTCACAGCGAGCTCCTGTGTAATTTTCGATGCACCTAGAATGGAGTGTTCAAGAGCTGCATTCCCGGTTCCTGAGCTAACTCGGAAAACTAAAGGGTGCTGTCCAGTGTGAAGAAAGAGACTGCCTTCCAGATTGTGAGCGTGGAGCACACAGGCTTTCCTGTAATGCTCACAGAGGTAAGGTTACAAGAAAACCAAGTAGCTGATGTGGCCTTGTTTTCCTTGCCTTCTTTTTCCAGTTTCCTAACTGCTTGGAGACTCCAGAGGAATTACAGGGTATTCAGTCCTCTTACCTTCCCGATTTTCATTGATGTAACCATCCATACTGGACTCAAATCCATCTCAAATTTACTTTGCTGTAGCTAATACAGATGAGGGCCTAAACATATTTTCCCTTCAAATCGCTATCTGGTCATGCCAACCTCACTTGGTAAATGATCGCTCCCTGACCCACCGCGCAGCAGCGCCTCTTTGAACGTATGCCCAATTTGTGCAGGCACCGCCACTTCCTTCCGTTCCTAAGTGGTCTTCACGCCTAATCCTGAGCATCTGCCATACTGCTTCCGTACTGTCAGTCAGTAACGCGGCTTCACAGCTGGGAGTCCTGTTCTCTACCTTACTGACTACTTTCCGCTTAGAGAACACTTTTTTACATTCTCTTTTGCCAAATACATATTTTAAAGTCAGTTTGTTCTAGATCTCAAACCATGAGATAAAGAACTACAGTCTTTGACATCAATCAGTTCTTTTTCCACTGTTAATGTGTTCAAAGGATTATAATAGCACAGCGATTGACAGAAATGAATGAGAGTGACACTGGCACCAGAATGGCTTTACAGCTGTGGTTTCATTTAAAATGAAGAAGAATATTTAAATATAAACTATGTCTATTTGTACAGCAACCCCTGAAGCTGTGGGGTAAACTATACTTGGCAGTAACTCTGCGTATGAAGTGCGGTTTAAGCTAGTTCTTACCAAAACAGAAAAGTCGATTCTACATTAATCGGTGTTCTCACCTCTTCCCAGCTTAGCTTAGGCGGGTTTTCCAAGATTTCATCTGCATTTCTCCCACCTCAGGTCTAGAAGTTACCTGTGAACCAATTACTATCTCTGACAATGAATGCAACTGACCGGTAAATACAAGGCAAGAACACCAAGACACTGTGCAGAGCGTCAATTACAGAGGAATGAGCATGAGAAAGAGTCTTGTCAAGTCCACGCCCTCTCCAGGGTGAGACGGTGCTGCTGCTGCCCATGGCCTCGACCTGGAGGGGGCCGCTCAGCAACGCAGCCTTTGAGATTCTTTCAAACTGCTGGAAAGCAAACAAACTGAAGTGCAAGGAAATATATGTGGGGAAATCACCTAAAGTCTAATTATCAATTTTTTTCCCATAGTTTAAGTCAGTTAAACAAGCATAAGGAGAAAAAAAAATTGAATGAGAAGAACTGGTTTCTTTCTCCTCTATCTCCACTTGCCAACGGGGGATGACTACCCACGCCCCCACAGTCAACACAGAGACTGCCATCACCCCCACACAAGGCCGGAGAGGGCACTTGCCACATAGCCAAAACACAAGTTATCAGTGTTTAATTTTCACAAGTATCTCTAGGGGCTGGCACTGTGGTACAGCAGGTTAAACCAGCATCCCATACGAGTGCTGGTTCGAGTCTCAGCTATTCTACTTCATCCAGCATTCCTGCTAACGCTTCTTGGAAAGCAACGGATAATGGGTGCTTGGGCCCCAGAACCCACGTCGGAGACCCTGATGGAGTTCCAGGTTCCTGGCTTCAGCCTGTCTGAGCCCTGGCCCTTGCAGTCATGTGGGGAGCAAAACAGTGGATGGAAATTTCTAGCTCTGCCTTTCAAATAAATAATTTTTTAAGAAATCTTTACTTTATTTGAAAGTCAGAATTAAGGAGAGAGCGAGAGACAGAGAGAGATAAGAGATGTTTCATCTGCTGGTTCATTCTCCAGATGGCCTCAATGGCCTGGGCTAGGCCAGGCCAAAGCTGGGAGCGTCATCTGGATCTCCCACGTGGGTGGCAAGAGCCCAGGCACTTGGACATCTTCTGCTGCTTTTCCCAGGCCACTAGCAGGGAGCTGGACTGGAAGTGGAGCGGCCGGGTCACAAACCTGCACCCGTAAGGGATGCTGGCATCACAGGCGACGGCTTTACCTGCTATGCCACAATCCAGTGCCGGCCTGACAATGTAAATTCTTCAGGAAGATTTCTTTTAAAAAAGCTATAAACTCATGACTTGGGAGTTCTTAAGGCTGTTCAAGTTTAGGCAAGATTGAATTTCAACAGAAAATGACAAACTAGCTGATGCAGCTGGTCATAAATGTGTTTACCGCATGATAAACACTGAGTCTCCCAGAGTTCAGGGAGCGGTGTCACTGAAAGCTCAGTGGCCTGGTGAGGACTTAAGCCAAAGGCAAAGGCCTGTGGAGGAGACCTGTCAGCACTGAGGTGTTCCTCTGTCTTCCTGGCCAGGATGCAGCTCCCGTGGGACGGTAAAAACCCAACGGTAACTTTAAGCCAAGTCAAGGAAAAAAAAATTTCTGAATCTAAATGTTCAGACATTTATCGTACAACAAGAAAATACGGACTACCAGTAATCGCGTACAAGGACTCTACTTGTAAAACTCTAGCTTTAGTTATGAAATGACTCAAACAGTAGATTTCAGGCCAACGCGGCTGCTCCTGTAGGGTGAGCAGGGGTCAGCCAGCGGGCGTGCAGAGGTGTCTGGCAGTGCTAGTGGCAGCTAAGCACAAAGGTCAAGTATTGCACCAGCACTGACGTAGAACCACGCAGTCTTTACGTGAGTGACTCTTGCTAAACAAGGCCTGGACCTCGCTTCGGCACAGGCTGATGAGAAGTCGTTGTGCCACCTAACGAGGTGATTACCAAGCACTAAGGGATTACGCATATTTTCCTGGAACTGAAGATTAATGCTGGAATAGATAAAATTGCTCAACTAGGTGAGAAAGTCCAGAATTCAGAATCCAAGCGATACATGTTGGGTTTTGGCTGAACGACGCCAACAGCCTGACTCTAAACTCAAAAGCTATGTGTAGTACAGAGGACGACAAACAAATGAGTTAGGGTCTACAGAATTCAAGGTAAATTGTCACAAAACTAGAGCTCTTTAGCATGAATGAACAACCAAATTTTAAATCACATACACACAGAGTGCCATTCAGCTTCAAGAATGAACCAGCTGGTGTTTTGAACCTACTTCTGAGCTTGCTGGCTGTGTGATCTTGGGCAAGTAACAAACTCTGTCAAACTCTGTCAAATCGAAAGAACACCACCCACTTAAACATATCTGGCGCTACTGTCAGAATCCCATTGGATGGGGGTAAGAGTGCTCTGAACACAGAAACACCTGCACAAGTGCAGTAAACAGATTTCATAAAAGTGGTCCCTTTACAAAGCCTCCCCCGCCCCCAACCCACGGGAGACCTGGATGGAGTTCCAAGCTCCTGGCTATGGTCTGCCCAACCCCAGCTGTTGCGGGGCAGTTGGGGAGTGAACCAGCAGAGAGAAGATCTCTGTCTCTCTGTCTCTTTCTCCCTGCATCTCAGTCTCTCTGCTTTTCAATAAAAAAAAAAAAACTTTAAAATGATCAGAGAATAAACCCAAAACTGCTCTGCAAATAAAACTATTATTTAAAAAATTAAGAAAAAATAAAACCATTCATATTTTTCATAGTCTATCATATGATTCTTGGTGTAAAATATACACACTTGTATATACAAAATATTTATATATAAAACTGATATTTTCAGTAAATACAAAATTATATTTAAATATTAGAACTACTACGTTGGTGGGCCTTCCAATTGTTTCACTGTTCATGTTCTGGTAAAACTTCCAGGTTCCTCAAGACCATGACCCAGGGGCAGGCTCATGCAGTTAAACCACAGAGGGAAATGGACAGTGTGCACGCTGGCATCTTACCTTCCCAGGCTTCAGGTCTCAACAACCTTCTAATGCAGGGAAAATCTCATGCCCCAGCTTGAAATAAGACAAAGAGAAGCCAGCATCAGTTCACTTCCTGACAAAAGAAGTTAAGTATTAGAGCTGGGCAAGTCACAGTTGTCACTCTGTACGGTACTTCCAGGTAGAAAACGAAATTCTAGTGAAGAGACCATGGAGTATTTTCACTGCCTTCCAAAGAAGACGGTAGATGATAAAGACAGTCGCCAAGGAAGATAACCAAAATTCAGAAGCAAATGCATAACCTGATATGATGTCAGCATGCAATAAGAAGAAGAAAGGGAAGGAAATTTGAAGGAGGGTGCACACTGCCTTTCATACGCCCTGGCTTCCTAGGACAGCTGTGAGCTACCCGGACTTAGTTCTGCCGGGTGTTTCCATTCTGGGACAAGTGACACAGACAGTAAGGCAAAGTCAGGTAGGAGAGAGAGCAGTATGTGTCCACTGCTGCTACCACATGCCCCTGTGTACGACACACACAGTGATCTGGCACAATGTGAGCGCTTCAGATTGATCCTCTTCAGATTGACGGACTGGGTGTTCCTGCTGAGGACACCAACGAGGAGTCTGTATCAGAAGTCAGATCAGCGAAACGAAGTGTTAACAAAACGCACAGCTAAAGGGAGCACTTGTTTTCTATTATAAGCTCCGAGGCTGTTATTTCCATTCCGTGATCTTCTGTTCTGAAGATCCATCTAATTCCCAAGCCTAACACGGTACAGTGTCAAAAGTCGGAGAGGACTGTGTCCTGGTTAATATCATGGGGCATCTTGAACTTTTTTCTTTGAACAACAAACTTCTATGAAATTTAAAGGTGAGAAAGAAATCTTATCTAAAAAGAGTGCCAAGAATCAGACTTTTTAACCAACTAAACTTAAGAAAACCTTAAGATGTTCTGTGCTTGGACAGCAGCTGGTGCAGTGAAGTCCAGCAACTTCTGAAAGACAAAAACACAGTCCACAGGTAGATGCGACGCCAACCACAGAGCACAGGGAATGCTGGCTTTCTCCCACTCGCCAATTACAAGGAG